TTTTTTTTTAATTTCTTAGTGTGGTTATATATCATAATTGGACATAAATTTATGATGTGTAGGCATTTCATTTTGCTAATAACTATGCCATATTAAATATCCATTTATTTATATTGTTGAATTTTTAGAAATTCACATAGAGCACCAACTTTCGGCCAAGAAAGAAAAATGCCATTGATATCATCGTTCTTTAGAAAACAAGATCTATGTCAAACTAGTGAGAGCATACAAAATACGGTGCAAAATAAGCATAATGATTTTTTTTTATTTTTATTTTTTTTTGTGTAAAAACTCGTCGAACACAACTTCAGTGAAATATTTGAAACAAATATTATATAAAAATGAATTTATAAATATCTACCACAATCTACTCTTAATTTCTGTCCGTCCCTGCGAACCGATATGAGATTACCGATATCGAATCGAAAGTTTCTTCGGAATCAAACCGAGTAGTCGGTTACCGAATTTTTGGTAACCGAAACTCTGTTCAGTTTCGGTGTTATACCAAATTTACCGAACATCACATGCCTGAAAATGTTTGAATTTTCTATGTTGATTGCATATGTTACATGATTAGCTAACTAATGACTGCAGAGTTTTTGCCGAAACTACACACTCTGGTACTCACTAACAATAGGCTAACTAGCCTGGTTGAAAATGATCCTCTTGCATCTCTCTCCCAAAGCTGCATTTCCTTAGTCTGCTAGACAAAAACATAACTAAAAATCCGAATTGCCGGATATATGTCACATCTACAGGTCGAACAAAAGGTCAGCGTTCAGTTTATAGTGAGTCGGTACTGTTCAATTTATATTCCTGTCAGTTCGGTTCGATTTTCGGGTTTTTGGTAGAAATATACTAACCCTAATATGAATGGCCAAAACAGGGTACTATAAAAGCGAAAAAGCAATAGATTACTAAATTGAAATTGTGTGAATCCATATTAAAAGGGACTATTCTTGTAATATGCAAAGCCAGTGTTATCTCTCCATTCCACTAACCCATACTTGTTTCACAGTGGAATGATTAGCGATTTTACTATCCCGACTTTTGAGGAATCTAATATGACAATATGCACATAAGAAATCGCCTTTTGTAGTTGAGAAAATCCACCACCGAATAAAGTTGATGTCAAAGACTTGCAATGTCTTCCAACTAATAAGCCGTGTCCTTATCATCTTGTACTCCTCTCATCTACTTCATGAATGCGTAATACCAAGAGTTCGTGTCCACATTCCTTTTGAAATCTTGCCTTTTTTTTTTTTTTTTTGGAAAAGATAGATTCATTAAACTAAAACACATAATTACAACCGACTGAATAGTCGGAATGTGAGGACTACACTAGACAGTCTAGAATCCACAACACACACTACAAGACTAAATATAAAAATAAAACTCCCCACAAGAGAATACACAAACTCCCCAAAGTAGAATAAGACAACCCCCACAGGGTAATAACACAAACCTCACAAAGAGGAGAAAATAAAACACAACCTACAAAACAAAAACACGCACAAATACAACCACAACAAAAAAATA